ATGCTTTAGTTAATTACTTCATTTATTCATTGATTTAAAACACTTTTATAGCATGTGTGATGTCCCAGGCACTTTTCTAAGTCCTTTACAAACATTAACATAGTAAATCTTTATCACAATCCTACAAGGCCGGTAGGATTATTAATATCCACATTTTATTATATTATTATATTTATTAATAATTATTATCATATTATTAATATCCACATTTTGCAGATGCGGAAACTGAGGCACTGGGCAGTTAAGTATTTCACCCATGATCGGACAACTAGTAGGTGAATTGGTCAAACTGTTTTTGTGTGTGTAGAGACAGCTATCGACGTAAGTCTAGGGAAAAACATAACTCTCGGGGAATAATTCCATCTGTCATTTACAGAAATCTTGATTGAACACCAGAATAGACAATTAGAAAGTTAAGTTGCTAGAATAAATATTCTGAACACAAAGACTTAGCAGACATTTGCTTACAGTATTCTACCCTGAAGAGTTGCCTTTTTGATGTTTGCATTTTTTCCAGCACAATTCTATTTTGTTTTGCTTTACTTTATTATGGTGGCAGTAGGTGCACATCTTTTAAACTTTTTCCCCCCAAAGAAAGACATTATTCCTGTAGATGTTTCATTTTCAGTGATTCACTTGTTCTCACTCACCTACATTCCCACAGCAGTAAAACTAAAGCAAGGCTCAGACAGCTAATCTTCTGTGTTCTGTGACACAAGCCAGACAGATGAATATTTCAGAGTTCATATTTTCTCTAGGGTTTGTCGACATCTCCTCTTCCTATTCAGACTCTTATGAATGTATTCTTGCCTTTCTTTCACCAAAGCCCACTGCTGGGGCCAGGCTGGAGCATGCCCTGGAGCCTGGCATGGTGCCATGTTGGTATTCACTTCCTCATCTGTCTTCTGACATACACACTGCCAAGACCTGAAAAAGCAGAACAGTTATTCATTAGACTGTGTTCTAGGTATGGGGTGCCATGGGGAGTGGAGAGAACTGAGGTGTCAGAAAGACCTGGCCTCTCATCTAGGCTCCCTGCTTTACTCACAAGGTGATTGTGGGCAAACTGTTCAAATTCCCTAAGACCCTGTGTCCTCATCTCCAAAATAACAGGAACAAAGCCCGCATAGAGACTTTGGGCTTATTTTGAGATTAAGATAATGCATTTGAAATTGCCTTGGAAATCTTAATGATTACGCAGATAGAGGTATTATTATTCCTGCCACTGAGTAATATAAAACACCTAGATAGGTTCATCCGCTGTAGGACTGATGACACCCAGAGGGGTTAATATAGGCAATTCTTCGCCTCTGTCTTTCCCCTTAGCACCTTTCTAATAGGAAGTGCTTCAGACATTAGAAACATGGCTTAATGAAAAATGAGGGAAGTGGGCAGCTTTAATGAAGAATTTAATAATGGCTGATTGATTTAGCGACAAAGGGAAATTGCTTTCTGTTATGCTGTTCAATGTGATGCCAAGATGCCAGTTTTTCCTTGTCAGGCCGTAAGAAAAGGTTGGGAAGTAGGAAGGTAATGACCTGTTTGTGATTTAGTTTGCATTTTGTGCTGATTGTAAGTTGTAGAGGATGCCCCAGGAGAGCACAGGGCAGTCAGCCCCCAAATCCTTACATGGCCTGAGGCAGGAGAACATGCTTTCTTGCTCTTGATTGTACAGGTAGTAAATAGGAGATACAGGTGTCAGTCTTCTCCATGCAGTTTTTACATATTAGAGCAGCTCTGCTGTCTTTCAAAAGCAATTCTACATAGCCTGGCGTCCCAGCTGTAAAATCCCTTCCTGCTGTTATTATTTCTTCTTACTACATGCTTTGCATCATCCTCTCCAAGTTGATTTCAGATTCAGGCTTTACTTAATGCTGTTTTAGAAAGCACAGTCCAGAGTCACGAGCTGCATTAATGTGCTAGTTTGTTATTTATGGCTTTCTTCCAACATACGAGAGAAGAAGAGCAATGGTGGAGCTCCTACCTTTGGGATGTAAACCTCATACGTGAACATACTGTAGTGACCTCGGATTTGTAGAGTACTACAGTTAAACATAATCTCAAAGAGAAGGATGAAGGTAGGATTCCTGAAGATATAAAATCCTCCATTTCTTTAGAAGATATTTTACAGACTTTGGCAAGAACTCATGTAATAAGGTTCTGCTTATGAATAGCCTGCTGAGCTGCTAATGGTAGTAATGTGACATGTTTGACAACAGAGGACTGGAGTGTTAAGAGTGGTTTTGACCTGCCCTTTGAATACAGTTAGCTAAGATGTTTTAATGTTTCTTTTCTTTGACTAAGACATATAATGATTTAGATAAATAAATTTTGATTCTCTTTTGGAAGCATGATATTAAATTTAAAAACTTGGTGAAATTTACTTCGAAAACTTTGCAAACATGCCATTTCTTCATTGCTGATAATAGGAATTGCCTTGTTTTATTTCCTTTGGAATACCAATATGTGTATGAACTTTTCTCTTGATTTGACCTCAGTTTTGGAAAATCAAACTCAAAGTGTGTTATTTGATATAATGCCTCTTCAATTTTGCCTGTAGTGGTGCCTTACTGGTTTATTCTTACTGTAAATAATACATCATCCTTCCCAAGCTGATTTCAGATTCAAGTGTTACTTAATGCTATTTTGGTACTAATGCTATTTGGTATTCTTATAGGTAACATAAGAATGATCATAACGGGGATAGATTCTAAATTGGGCTTTTCTAATTAAAAATATTTTACCATATTATTATGAATTTTAGGAAGTAAAATGAATATATATTTTAAACGGGGCTCTAATTCTAAACCAGAAATATAATCTTCTTCTTCCATCTTTCCAGTCTTTGTAGTTTATAGACTTTTTGTCATAACACTGAGTTAGGCCATTATGTTTATAAAGGAGATAGGCCATGGCATGAAAAATGAAGGTATTCAGCCATACATATTTCATAGATTTAAAGACAAATAGGTAACAGAGCTCTGTAGAAAGTTTTATTATCTTGTGTATTCAGGAATACATAAGATGCCATATCCTTAGGCTTATAAAAAGCCTGTGTACTTTCCAAAGATTTAAAAATAATTTTTTGATCCTTGTCTTTTACAAGAATAGTAAGCTATCTAAAGATCATCAATAATTTTTAAGTACAAACAGCCTTCAGTTCTGATTATATCCTGCCCAGTACACTATGTTTATGGTTACCATTACAATAAAAAGCACGCTCTGTTGTATTCCAACCAACATTTACTGAGGACTATCTGTACACCTAGCACGTGGAAGTGCTTTCACTTGAATCATGTCTTTGACTTTCCTCCCTTCCCCCTTCTCCCTACCCGACCCGTGCCTGTGAGATATAGTAAGATAATAATAGGTACTTCCATTTTTTTAATATTAGCGAACTAAGCCTCAGGATTATAGATCAATGACATGTCCTGGACCACACAGCTAATGAGGGACAGGGAAGGGATTCCATCTTGAAGTCTTCTGACAGCCTGCTTGATTAATGCTGGGATCCCAAAGGGATTCCATTCCAAACTAGTGATTTTATAGATGAGGAAATGAGGCCCAAAGCAAGTGAAAAATTGCCTGAAGTTCTTTCTGAACTACTATGCTTTCCCCATTCATCTCCAAATGTTTTTAGAAGTAAAAATAGAACTACTCCCTCATATGTACTCACTATCTCATACTATCTTCCTGGTGAGCCCATTACTTCCACTCACCTAATCCAGCAACCCTTCCCATCTCACTTGTTTCCTGAGGCCAAGATTTCTTTCTCTAGCTTTTCCTAGACATCTCCACCTGAATATATGAGGGGAAAAAACTTAAAATGCAGGCTGCTCAAAAATTGAAATTGTTAACATTTTCATAAATTTAGTGATTCTTCTTAAAATGCTGGGATTCCCTTCTTGAATAATTATCTCATTTTCTTTTCAGTTATGATTACATTACCTTTTCACTTACTTGAACTTAGGATCTGTATGTTTTTCACTCTGGAATTTTCCACCCTTGAGCTTTCTCCTGAGTTTAGGATCTACTTTTTCAGATATTTACTTGATCTATCTTTCAGGGTATAATACATAGTTCTCAGCTACAAAAGGTTTTATTCCAAACTCCACATTTCCAACTCTCCCCAACTGTATCCTCTTCTTGCATTATTGATTTTGATTAAAGATTTTACCATTTACTCAGGCTCTGAGGCTAGAAAATCTTTGTGTGTGTCATCAATTACTCTTGTTTTAATCTGAGTCTCAGCATCTAATCAAGCATCCATTTTTAACAAGTTCACCTCTAACATACTTCTCAAATTTTGCTTGTTCTTCTCTTCTTTCTGCTGCTTTCACTGAGGCTGTGTCTTACTCCACATTTAGTGTTCTGGTACTCTAGTCTACTCCCATTTTACAGCAACATAAAGAGCACTTATTGGGTTCCTACAATGTGCCAGGCACTGTGCTAAATGCAAGGTTGAAAAAGATCAAGATTCAATCACCTTCTTTCTTTTCTTGCATCTTCATGATATAAACTCAATACAAGTAGTTAAAATCTGCTGACATTTTTAGCCATAGCTCTTTAACCCTAGTGTTCTTGTTTATTGGTGAAATTCCTTCAAATCTCATTTAAAAATTTTTGAAATATGAAGGTATGAAGTGTTAGAATTACTGAGAGTGTTCTTGAGCTGCTTAAAAAAGTACCATGCCTAGTTTTCAGGATAGTCGAAATGAGATTGTAAAAATCATAGGAAGACCTGGAGGTAAATGGTTGTAAAATATGAAACCAAGTATATTTTCAAAAACATTTTAGTTTGTTTTGGTAGAATGCATGTTAAATTCTAATATATCTCCTGAGTGCAAAAAATAAATTTCCTCTTAGGAGAAGATTTTTAAATAAAATGAACTTAAGACTCCTGAGGTATCTTAAAGGAAATTTACAGTGTGCTGAACACTTTCTATAGTTTTGGTGAAAGTGATTGTCAGGTTAAATGCAGTAATTTCTGTTGCCCATAGGTATACACTGGTGGATATTTTGCGTGCCATCTTACTTTCCTTAGAAGCCATGATTGAAGATCCTGAGCTTCAGGTGAATGGATTTGTTTTGATCATAGACTGGAGTAACTTCACCTTCAAACAAGCCTCCAAACTTACACCAAGCATGCTGCGACTGGCTATTGAAGGCCTTCAGGTAAAGATTTATAAATTACCATTTCTCAGGCTTTCAAGTTTGATTTCTCTTATCTGATGTGTTAGAATGACAAAATGCCTTACTTAAAGAATAATAAATACATGTTTTTAAAATAGTTTTTAAGCACAAACACTAAAACCATAACTGGACAAAGGATTATAGAGGTAAAGTTGAAAGATGTGAGTGTTTTCATAGATGGAGTTTGTAATATGGAGCACAAACCTTACTGTGTCTACATATAAATGTAGGTGCTGACCTGAGATTTTTATATTGAGAAGTAGAACAAAGAGCACATGTTAAGATTTTAATTATTAGCTATTTAGCTTGCTTGATTTGTTTTTTTCTGTGTGTATTAATTAGGTAAATATTGCTTTATTACTCCGTTTAACCTGGTGAATTGGGAATATGATTCTTAATATCTTCATGTTGACCAAAAAACTGTTAGGAAGGCAATCAGTCAATACGTATTTTGGTATCTAAGATTTGGAATCGCTGTTTTGAATTCCTTTTCTAGACTTAATTGGGGTTTTTCTTGTTGCTCTTGTTGTTGTTGTTGTTGCTGTTGTTGTCGTTTTTGGTGGAAAGGCTGTCACATAGAATTTATAGGAATGGTGCTTCTTCCAGGGAATGACACTTACCTAGTTAGGAATTATAAAATGGAAAATCAATTATTAATTCATGCCCTGTCAGAAACCTACTATTGAGAATTTCTTTTTAACCTTTAGGATGTCCTGCTTCTGCTCTCGGTAGTTTGCATTATGGCACTTTGTATACAATAGTTATGAGATAAATTTTAAATTCTTAAAAAGCATTTGCAAAGTAACTCTTCAGTGATATTATTTACTGTTTACTTTCTGTGTATTCAACATGCATTTTAGAAGTTTTTAAGTCAACAGTAAATTTTTGTAACTTTTACCACTGAAAATGCTTGCTTTAAAATAACTAATTATATCTTTATCATTCATTAGGCTGCAAGGTTAGACTTTATTTTTTTATGTTGAATAACCAAAGTCACGCAGACCTCTGCTCCACAGTAATCTCTGACTGTGTCTGTAGGCACCTAAACTGACAGCTGACCACTCACTAAAAATGGTCCTCTTCTCCAGGCAGCAGGACACCTTTACCAAATCAAATTCACAGTTTGGATGTTGCCTCTGAAGTGAATAAGACACACTAATCCTCTTTCTCTATATAGGTTTTTTCTGATGCAGGTTTCCTGACTTGCTCTTGGTGGGTCAGCCTTTCTCCAGTCTTAGCTTCCACAACACATTTTAAAAAACTCCATAGAGACAGTTAATTGATGTTGGGAGAGGACATAGGATAAGCATGTTTGAAAATGTGTATATCATGTAGAATCAGTCCTAATTCTGCCCTATTATCAGCAGTGTGTAAAGTGTCCTTCACTTTCTAGGGCGCCTGGTTGACCCAGTCGGATAGGCATCCGACTCTCGATCTCAGCTCAGGTCATGATCTCTCGGTTAGTGAGCTGAAGGCCCACGTTGGGCTCTGCACTGACCTCGAGGAGCCTGCCTGGGATTCTCTCTCTCCCTCTCTCTACCCCTCCCCCACTTGCTCTCTCTCAAAAATAAACATTAAAAAATAAATAAATAAAGTGTCCTTCACTTTGTAAAGAAAATTGGTTTCCACAACCATGTTACTTAACACATAATGGTAATCTAGCCTTTTATAATATTTTTAACCTGCCGTCTTCTTTTTTTTCACTTTAAAAAAGTGTTTTATTTATTTTTGAGAGGGCACAAGCAGGGGAGGGCAAGAGAGACGGGGGACAGAGGATCTGAAGGGGGTTCTATGCTGACAGCAGCGAGCCCAATGTGAGGCTTAAGCTCACGAACTGTGAGCTCATGATCTGAGCCAAAGCCTCACGTTCAACTGACTGAGCCACGCCGGTGCCCCGAACCTGACATCTTCTTTTTGCACGAGGGATAGGCTAGGCCTTCAGCTACATGAGGGACTGGAGAATTCATATTATTTGTAAGAAATTGAAAATAAAAAAGCATTTCAAGGATAGACTCGGGATCTTGTTTTATTTGCCAACTCACATGCTTTTGGAAGTCATTTAATAGTAACATTGTAAGTCATTCTAGGAGAGAAAACTGACAACTTGGACATGTTTGGGAGCTTCCCTGTAAGCATGGTTACTATCAGAATTTCTTTAAGTGCTAAGTGTCAGCACAACAGGAGCTACTGCCAATGTAAATCTCTGTGTTTGCGCTGGAGAGAGAAGGAGCCCGTGTGCTGGCTGATTTAGGGACCTGCCTTGTTTCTATTCCCCATAAATGTTTCAGTGCCTTAACCTTACTCCCAGGGCCCAGACTGAGTAAGAGGGTTGATTTCCCCTGATTGCTAACTGCGAAGCCACTTAAAGGAACTCTTTCTGGGAATAAATTTGACATGTTACTATTTTTAAACTAGGTTTTTCTCAAGTTCAGATTGATTTTTTTAAATGCTCTGTATCTCTGTCTCTATCTGTATCTATAACTACTTCTATATCTAGATCTAAAAACAATAGTAATTCTGAATAAGAATATAAGATGTGCTAAAAATGTTCCACTCATTGGGGCATGGGGCATTTCAGTCTTCTCCTGAAGCAACATTTTATGACTTTTGTAATCATGACTATGTTTTACTTTGCATATACTATGTGTGACATATTATTGCATATTGACACATGTTTTATGCCAAGCAGCAATTTAAACTTTTTTTTGAGATTAATGTAAGGCCAAAAAATGTTTGAAGTAAGATATATATATATATATATATAAGATATATATATATATATATAAGATATATATATATACAATTTTGGGTTGCTAAACACAACTACTACCATCACCAAGACTACCAATGCTACCACAATAGTAAACCCCTTCCAATGAACCTAGTCAGGGAAATGAAGAGATAGGATATTTTTAATAATTCAATGATAATTTATATCATGCTCTAATCTTGCTATAATATGTTACTTTTATTTAGGCAAACGCAACAGATATTCCAGGTACATGAACCAAAAATAAGAAAGGCTAACAATAAGTCTAGTGCCAGGAAGAAAACTTACTTTAATTATGTATATTATTAATAGGATGATGTAATTGTGTTTTGGAGAGGCCTCATCTCTTTTCCTCTGCAGGTGATTGTATAACATTTCTAAATGCACACACACACCAACCCCCCTTCTCTCAGGCAAAAGAGGATTTTGAGTGATCTGGCTAGAGATAGCACCTGACACCTGGGAGAAAGACACATAGACCATTGCTTTTAAGATCCACCTATGATCAAAGTGCAAGGTCAATAGAGAGATAATGCAGAGGGGTGGAAATAAAATGGGCTTTAGAGGCAGATAGACCCAGCTTTGGATGACAACACTGCTGCATATTAAATACTTGGGCAAATTACTTACCTTGTTTAAATCTCAATCCATTCACTTATACCAATTTTAGAGTATTAAGTTAGAAATGATACATCTTTTGCTTAGCAGGTGATAGCAATGCTTAAAGTCATTGATGTGGATAAGCTCATTTGTCAGGTGGCATATTTTTCTGCATGTGTGCTGCTTTTCTCACAATTCAGTGACTACTTAGACTGTGAAGACTTAAAGTTGATTGACTTTGGAAATCTGAGTAACCATCATATTTTGCTTTTAGTGCTCAGGTTGTCAATACACAGATTGCATTTTTTAAATCCCTTCACTATGTGGTTAAGTAACATCTAGATGTCTTCATGTTTGGTGCCAAATATAATATTTGTTCATGATGGAAGCCAAATGAAAAATGAGATTGTTTCACCTGGAGAAAATTAATTTTTATTTTTGGGGGGGAGAAACTCCAGGCACAGTGGGAAGGATAGTGATTGTGGGGATATCCTTGGCCTGGGGGTATGAGCAAGAGTTTGCTAAGTGGACAAGGACAGGAAAAACCTGTCAGACAGGAAAGCTTTGGCGAGGCGTTTTGAACAAATACATAGCTGTAAGGGGTTGAAAGCTAGACCAAGAAGTGAATTGAGGCAAATGATCAGAGATGAACCAAGAAAGGCTGGCTGAGAACTGTTTTAGTGGGATGAAAGATGGCACCCTATGTGGTTTGGCCTATGTTTCTCCAGACTTGGGGAAGTTTGGGACAGAAAAGTGACCTGGTCACGCCTCTGCTTTGGAAAGATATCTGGAGTACAAGAATGGACTTCAATAGAAGGATAGAGACATTCAATTTAGAGAACCTACATACTGGGCACCTGGGTGGCTCAGTTGGTAGAGTGCCAACTTTGGCTCAAGTCATGATCTCACAGTTCGTGGGTTCGAGCCCCACGACAGAACTTTTGCTGACAGCTCAGAGACTGGAGCCTGCTTCAGATTCTGTGTCTCCCTCTCTCTCTAGCCCTCCCCTTCTTGTTCTCTGTCTGTCTCTCTCTCAAAAATAAAATAAACATAAAAAATTTTTAGGGAACATCCATACTACCACAGAGGTAACTATATTGATCTCATTTTATAAGACAGGAAATGAAATTTCAAGGAGTTTCAGAGACTTAACCAAATTTTCTCAACTGACGTGAAGGCTTGAGTCCAGGTTGTCTGACTCCAAAGACCAATGTCTTTCTTGAATCTTGTTTGTATTGTTTGCAGGAGTGTGCTTCAGAAAAAGTGGGTAGGCTCAGATTAGAGTAACTTCCTTCCCCCATGCCCAAATCCTCACAATATACAAGTGAAATTTGTTTTTTGGGATAGACAGTACAATTCTAACTAATGACGTCATAAATGGCTGGCCTGTGGCCTTGCGCTTTCTTTGACTCCTCGTGGCAGAACCACTTTCATCTTCACAGTGAGCATCCTCTTTGAGTGATTGCCAGCCTCTCAGTTCCCTGTGATGAAGGCCAAGTGAAAGGCACTTTTCTCATAGTCAAAAAGAACTTTTATCAACACAACCACAGATTGATAAGTCACTAATGATCTTCTTGGTCCAAGACAATTCTGTATGCTTTCTCTGTGGAGA